ACTCTTTCGGTACAAAAAAATAGAGGATCCATAATTATGTAAACTAAATCATAAAATCATACATAGGTTTTCATTTAAACAAAAAAAAAGGGTAAAATAAAAAGGAAATTAAATAATCCATATTCATGGTATTATTTTGAAATGGTATTATATAACACTAATATGTTTTAATTAAAGAAAACACAATACTTAAGTGTCACAAATCATTTAAAACTTAATTCCTAAAATAATAAAGTAGTAGGCGTAGTAAAAAAAAGTTCTAAACAAAAAAGTGAAGGAGAATGGAGTAAATACAAACAGAGTATATGGAGTACGGAGTATTAAAAAAGCTCAATAAAAAGGAAAAGAGTTCCTGGGTAAAGATAAGACCACAAGTGCAATAAGAAAACAGGGACTCAGGGAGTAGCCGTCAGAAAAAGAAAATAAAAAAGAAATAGGGAGTAGAGCTCTGGGAGGTTCGTAAAAAGAAAGGGTGTAGAGCCGTAAAAAAAAAGAGATTACAGAGTCGGAACTCCGAAGTCTGATCGGGTAAAAACAGAGGCGTGTCGATCGAAATTCTGCTTGGTCAATTGCCGATCCCACGAAACAAGATCCAAACCGAGGCTACCGCCTCACAAACGCCTTATCGCCTCAACCGCCTTGGACGGCCTCAGAAAAACAAGGCGTACGCCTCACAGATCCCACCTGGTGCGGACGCCTCTGAGGCTAGATCTGACCGCCTTACCGCCTCGAGGCGGACCGCCTTTTTCGCCTTTTAAAACCATGCTATTAACTAAGGTAAGGATATGTTTCTAGTAGATACATGGGCACAAAAATATAATAGTTGGTCCTCTCAGCTCGAATATGTTTCTACCTATCGTACCTTTGGAAGCTGCATCTCGGGGGAAACAGCACCGCCACAATATTGTAATACCGGCGAGTTAGAGGAGTTAATCTTTTCAGCTTGTTCTAATGCCCTGTGGTCCATCCACACTATGACATTTCTTCTTGCATCACCACTCCAAGAAACCGTAACAGGTTCCCCATCAGAATCTATAGCAACTGTTCGAGAGAGCAAAGTGCCAAAATCAATGAGTAAATAAGCAATTAGCAGAACTCAAGGTTCATTAAGGTCTTGCGTGTGACAAGAAATAATTAAAAAATTACAGACCAAGGGAGCATGTTGCAGCAAAACCAATTCCCTTTACATCATCCCCACAAATATTTGCAAGAGTGCATGCCGCTTTTACAGCAGTACAGATTGCAAGCCAAATATCAGTTGAAGATTGCTGCACTCAAGAAGCAACAATATCATCATCATCATAACCATAAGCTCTACTGTGGTGGGTAGACAGCATTAAATTTGTAGTGTCAAGAAAACAATGACAAAGTTTTGCACCAGGTGCCCTTCCGGTTGTAACCTTACGAAGATATTTTGAGATGAAATTCCAACACTGTCATCATAACAGGCTTTCTTCACTTGCATGGAAAATTGCCTGAGATGGCGATGAGTTGAGATAGTTTTTTCTTTAATTTTACACATTGATATTGTTAAATCAATATTCCCTTCA